ACAAAACGAGGCCCCGATCCACAGGTCTGCGGCTGCGGGCTGGCTCCTGCAGGGCCGGGGGTGTCTGGGTGGGAGAGTCCGCGGGGAGGTGGATGTGTGGGGAGGGGTTCTCAGCATCATTCACCACTCCTGGTGTTTCCAGAAGCTGACAGTGATCTTGGTGTGGGCGGCAACTTAAGGAATGAAATCCATTTTTCTCCTCAGCGGATGCCTACATGAAATCAGAACCAAAAGAGAGAGAACATCAATTGGCACTTTAGTTGATTTCTATTTGGAGAAATGATCATGCATTCTCTGTTGCCTCTGGCGTCACTTCCACATTGTCCTGGCCTTGGGAAGTTGCGCTTCTGCTCCTGGGTCACACACGTCGGTCTGTTGCATGACTGTGATAAACAACAGCCACACAGGCTCCCCTTGCCCAGTGGGTGGCCCACATGCAGTGGGTCAGACACACCGCTTGACCTCAGCAGGTGATCTCTGCCACTTGGCTTCCAGCATACGGCGCTTAACCCTAACTGACATGTGTAGAAAGGGCACAGTCCTAACTAAGCATTGGTGGCTGGAACAAACACACGTAGAACAGCAACTAAGAAGTAACCTGATGTTAAAGATGGCTCTTTCACCATGCAGGAATTAGCACATGAATAAGGGCCCTTTTTATCTTGCTGATTAATGCTGGCCATCTGCTGTTTGACCTTGGACTTCTGAACATACATGGAATTAAGGCCTAGGTTCCTGGCTGAGCTGTTGGTTATTCTTTAGAGCTACAAACAAGATTCTAATTAAAGATGTGTTTTTTTTTTCTCTGTAGTCCATGATGAGTGAGCTAACTACACCAGGCAACAGGATGTGGAAATGATCCACAGAAAAAGTTATCACCGTGCTCAGCACCCACCAAAGGCAGGATTCTAGAAGGACTTTCTGTCATAGGCTCTATGATTTGCAGCTCATATTTGCTTTTTGCATCTTCATTCAGAGTCCTTGATCTTTATGTTCAGGTTTAGAAGAAGAATTTTATGAAACATGACACTTTCATACACAAAGAATGAATATGTTGGCTCTGAGGGCATCCTGTGTTCAAGGTCTGGGCATCCTGGTGTGGAGAAGCAATGCTGCTCAAGTGCCTCAGCGCTGCCTGGCCACACATCAACCTTGTGATGCTTTCCACAGTAGGATTTTTGGCACGCCCCTGTGGGAGACTGTACAGGTAGACTTCATATTAAGATTTCAGTTAGTGCTAAGCACGCCATGTGCTGGGAGCTAAGTGGCAGAGATCGCCCATTGAGGTCAAGCATTTTGTTCAGAGCTCTCCTGCACTCATGTTATTCGTTGGGTAAGGGGAGCCCGTGTGGGTGGCGGCTTATCACAATCACCCAACAAAATGACTAGTGTCACCAGGAGAAGCGCAGCCTCCCAAGGCCAGGATGGTGTGGAAGTGACGCCAGAGGCAAAGAGAAATATTTAAATGTTTCAATAGGAAAAATAAAGAATTCTTTAAGTCATCTGGTCTCCCCAAAGTATTCTTTTCTAGCTTCCTCCATATCAGTTTGTGTTATTACGAGTCTTCCCTCAAGCTTGACAAGATGGAGTCACTGTCATCGTGCTGACTTCCCCCACGAGCTGTTGTCAAGCTCTGTCTCTCTGTTCCTTCCCATTCTGTCTTCACTAAGATTTCTACAAAGGAGCAGTTTGGGGGAGAAACATGTTCGCGTGGACACAGCACTTACCTCTCTGTCTGTAGCTTGTTTATGGGTGTTGGGTGACTTGGAGAGCCACCCCCAGCACCCCTTTTCCCCCATCAGCACCCCTTTCTTCCTTGTGTCCAGAGGCTAGCTTCATTCTCTCCCACACTTCAATCTTTCCAGCATATAGTGAGCACAATCTCCCTAAACAAGGCTTTCATCAATTGTTTTTCTGCCCGCCACAGGGCCATCTACCTGGGGGTGACACTACCTGGGGGTGACACTACCTGGGGGTGACGCAGTCCAGCTTCCTGGTGCTTGTCAGAGCTCAGCCCTCTCGTCTCCTCACAACTGACACACGAGTGTCTCACCTGAAGTCCAGTCTCCATGCCTTGCTTGTGATACTTTTCTGGGGTCTGCCCTTCCCTTTCCGGTTTGAACTTTACCCTTCTTCAGTGCTGGGCTTGACTGTCTTCCCCAACAGGTTTTCTTTGATTATTCAATCTTGCAAAATTGTATTTCATCTGAGCTGAGCTGTCATCAGATAAAGACACACCACTGCGTCATTCACCACCATGATAGAAATACCATCATTGTTTTACCCAGGTCTCATTGCTTTCTTTAAATTTTATTTTATTTCAATCGAAAAAGCTCTTTCAGACTTGCTTAAAGATAGATTGAAAAATTATAAGTCCCCCTGTAGGCTTATAGTTCCTCTATAAGCCTACACATGCAATGAGTAGGTTAAGAAGTATCTAGAATTTCTTCACATGCAAGGTTTGTCTTTTTGGAATTTTCTACTCACGGTTACCCATTATGTATATTATGGGTGGTGTTTTCTTGATCTTTCCAGAAGGTGTCAGTGGAAGATCTTCAGAAAACAGGGCACACATTACGTCTTCCAGCGGTGTGTTGACTTTAATTTCCAGGTGCTGCAGGGGCCGTAGGAGACAGCCCAGCCCCACAGACTCTGGTGGTGACAACCCTGTCAGGATTGTTGCAGGCCCACAGAAGTTTTAAGGGGACTTTGAATATCAGTGCACCTCCAAAAGTACAACTCAGAAAGGGTGAAATAATCCTACTAAACTATTTTGCCATTTAAAAATAACGATTTATTTATGTATATAAGAATTGGGGTGTAGGCTAGAGCTGCAGGTGGGGGGGGGAAGTGTGCATGTGAGGCTTCAGCAGAGACAGAGTGGGGAGCAGAGCAGGCAGATGGACGAAGTCCACTGCTGAGGGGAGTGGCGGGTGGTCAGGAGAGGTCTGCTGCGTCCTGTGGGTCACTCCCTGGCTGGGGACCGAAGTTGTGCCGGCAGTGGCTGCTGATAGCTTCGTAGTGCTGAGGCTCGTTAACCCCTGCTCCACCAGGGCGGCCCTGGCTTGCCTCTTTCTCTGCAGTCCCTGTCTCATCGTGTGTAAGGCTGATGAAGGCCGGTGATGCTGCGGGGTCTCAGCGAGGCGTGTGGGGGGACTCTGGGGAAGCCGGCAGGTGTTGGAACTTGGATTTGCTCTGTTTCTTGGAACGTACTCTAAAATCCAAATCCAAATCTCTAGGCTGGAGTTGGGGAATTAGATTAACTTCCTTGAGAATTCATTGTCTTGTTATTGTCACCGACTGTCGTCATAACTTTTTTAAAAATGAAAACAGGACACTGTCTTCCCTCTTTTTTTGGCATCTAGGTAGATCCAGGGGTTTTACTTATATTTAGACATTTCCTGTCTGTTGGGTAGGTGGCTTTATTTATTTGTTTATTTATATCACCTTTTTATTTGTTTTAAAGATTTATTTGTGCATACAGAACTGGGGTACAGGCCAGAGATACAGGGGTGGTGAGAGGCTTCACCAGAGACAGAGTGGGGAGCAGAACAGGCAGATCGACGAAGTCCACTGCTGAGAGGAGCAGCGGGCGGGTCAGGAGAGGTCTGCCGCGCCCTGTGGCCACCTCCGGGGTGGGGATTGAACTCTCACAGAAGCGGCTGGCAGCTTGCAGTGCTGCGCTCCAACCCGTTGAGCCACCAGGGAGGGTCCTAGGTGATTTTATTTCTAAGGTATCACTTAGGAAATAAAGACTGGGTGTCACGTAGTTACAAGAAGTCAGAGCTGGGACTTCAATTAGGGTCCACCTCTGACCCATGGTGTCCCCCTCTCTGTGATATAGGTTATACGAGCAGTTTGCAAGTCCCAGAAGCAGAAACTCTCCCTAATTTAAGATGATTCAGAAGTTTCATGTTGGAAAGTAATCATAAAATGGGAATAATTCAGAACACAGGTCCACGTAAAGTTTTGATTCTGTTTTCTACTTTATGGCATATTCATTTCAAAATCAGTAATTTTATTTGCAATATGTAATGTAACATGTTTAATATCATCCCCTAGTGAACGCAGGAAGGATGGGTTTTCGTTGATTCCGAGATGGACATTTTTTACACCTTCATATCTAGATGTACATTCAGATGGTTCTTAAACTCGATGTTGTATTTAAGATTAATTGGCAGCTTTTTCTTTCTCTGTGTTTCACAAAATAGTTATGCATCTTACAATTAGTTTCTTTCAGAGCTTGTGATGTGCATTTTAATTAGCTGTTGTATGCTTAGTGTGCAGTACCTCATACTGTATACAGAAAACATCACAATCACCTTTGGAATGAATGAGCGAGTGAATGAATGAGCGAGTGAATGAATGAGCAAGTGAATGAGTGAATGAATGAGTGAGTGAATGAGTGAGTGAGTGAATGAATGAGTGAGTGAATGAATGAATGAATGAATGAATGAAGGTGGAACTTTAAACCTTGAAGGAACTTTCTGAAAGTTTAAGTGATGCCACTTCCCTTTTAGAAAAGACATACTTTTGTACCTATTTGCTATGATGGAAAGAAATCTTAAGATTTTTTTAAAAGATTTATTTATTTATGCATACAGAACTGGGGTACAGGCCAGAGGTGCAGGGGTGGTGAGAGGATTCACCAGCGGCAGAGTGGGGAGCAGAACAGGCATATTTGAATGAAACACACTGCTGAGGGGAGCAGCGGGAGACAGGAGAGGTCTGCTGCGCCCTGTGGGTCACTCCCTGGCCGGGGATCGACTCTGGCTGCAGTGGCTGTGGCCAGCTTCACAGTGCTGCGCTTTAGTGCATTGTGCCAGCAGGGAGGACCCAGACTAGGGCTTTGCTTTGACTTACCGACTCTCCGGTGGGGCCCACCAGGAGAGCCCTCAGGCATCTCCTGCCTTCGCTTTGCCAAAGGAGGTCCATATTCAGCCACCTGAGCTGGAAGAATTGTAGCCGACTGGGAAGGCTCAGGGGGCCTTGGGCCTGCCATGGCCGAGCGCCGCCAGCCCCCTGCGGAACTGTTCCTGAAGGTACCTCTCGCCAAGAGCTGCTGAAGAAACGAGGGTGGTGCCTGGAACGCCTCTTGGGAGACTCTGATTCAGCTGTAACTAGTGAAAGACAGCAGGTGATATAAGGAACTGCAGCCACGGTCTGCAGGTCACATGTAGACCCTGAGCACGGAGAGGTGACAGAACTGCACGTGCTGGTGACTTCTCAGCCTCTCCCAGGGGAGAGGCTTTCCTCATCCAGACACATCTTCACCATTCATTAGAACAGAAAACAGGGCCTCCTTGGTGGTGAAAGGGGTAAGTTGCACTCTATGAAGCTCTCTGCAGCCGCTGCAGCACGAGTTCAATTCCCGTCTGGGAAGTGAACACAGGGTGCAGCAGACCCCTCCTGTCTCCCCACTGCTCCCCTCAGCAGTGGATTTCAGTAGATCTGCCTGTTCTGCTCCCCACTCTGTCTCTGGTGACTCCGTTCACTCCCCACACCTCTGACCTGCACCCCCATTCTTGTAGGCATAAATAAATCTTAAAAAAAAAAAGATGAGAAAACAGCTACTTACCAGCACCAGAGGTTGATTTTTAAAATGTCCCACAAACAAGCTCTAACTCACTGCATTTTTGCAGGTCTACAGGTGGTCCCTTCGGGAGCCCACCCTCTGCTGGCCTTTGGCCATGTGATTCTCCCAGTTCAGATACCCATCTTGCGTCTGTGTTAGCAGGAGGCGTTTTAAAACCACATTAGCATCTTGACTTTCAAGTCCGCCCCTCTGGAGGTTGATGAATAAAATATTAGCAGTGAAAGTTCCCTGTTTCCTGGCTGTCTGTAGATGTCCTGATTGGACTTGAGTTCCTGAAAACTGAACTAAGCCCAAGGACTAAATCCGGGACTCCACACCTTAAGTGTTCTGCCTGTTGCTACCTTGACGAGAGAAAAGCACATCCTACATCCCAAGTCACGGTGGCTGTGATTTGCCATCTTGTTTTCATAGTAAGGATGATCAAGATGTTTAGTCACATAGAATAAATTACTTTGGTTTATTTGTCTGTGCAACTGTGTGAGCACAAGTAATTTATGGACATCATTTGCTATTTGCATATGAAATGGGCTTCTTGTTCTTTATGGGGAGAAAATGACTCCTTTGGGTCACAATTAGCCTATCTGATAATTAGTCACAATTAGTCACGATGCTGGCAGTTAAGCGCACACACAACGTTGTTTAGACAAAGTGAAACTGAATATCTTGACTTGTGGAATTTATTCAGAGCTACAGCTTCTCTGCTTTCTATTTAGATATGGTTTCAAGTTTCTCACAATTCGAAGAAAGAAATTACTCAGCTATCAGAGAAATTATTCAGCTATCTCTATGGACTCCAAGCTTGTTGTTCAGCAGGGGAGAGAATTAAACGAACATCAGGAAAAGGTGTGTTGCCACCCGGCAGGTCAAACGCTTTGATTGGTTGAGAGGCATGAGGAAGGGCTTGGTTAAGCCCTATTGCATGTAAACAGTATCCCCCTAACAACACAGAGCTTGGGCAGGGAGAGGCCCAAGCGATGAGGCTCAGTGAGGGCAACTTGAATGTCTCGGTGCCCTTTTCATTTGGTGAATAATACATGCAAATTAGGGAGCCAGGTCTCCACAGGACTTTTCATCTGAAAGCCTGTGGGTGATGAGGAGGCTTCCGAGGAGTGAGAGGATCATTCTGGAAGAGTCTAGAAGCTGAACGGATTGCTGTGATGTTTAGGATCGGTAGGAGACAGCTCTGGAAGCAGAGTGTCACCCGTGTTTTAACGGTAAGGAGCTTGTCAGTCTGCAAGTGTCACTTCCATGCTCTCTTCTCTCACCTGTTTGGAAAAATACCTTTAAAAAGTTCAGGGTCCTCCCTGGTGGTGCAGCGGGTGACCCTCAAGGCACAGCAGACCTCGCCTGTCTCCCCGCTGCTCCCCTCAGCAGTGGATATCAGTAGATCTGCCTGTTCTGCTCCCCAGTCTGTCTCTGGTGAAGCCTCTTTCCCTCTGCACCTCTGGCTTACACCCCATTCTTGTATGCATAAATAAATAAAACAAATCTTTAAATAGCCTTTTCTTAACACAGAGCCTGTGTATATCTATAAAATACACCTTAATTTATGCTTGTGCAATAAATTGAATGAATTGATGTTTATCACATCCTGAGGTTCACTACTAATTCTAAAACATTAAAATCAGTGATGAAATCTTGGGTACAATTAGTGAACTGGTTTCTTTGGCCTGAGTTATCTTTTTGGTAGTAAATCAATTTTTTTTGGAGGTTATATATATATATAACCTGGCTGTGTTCACCCCACTGAAATGTATTCATATAACAACCTTACAATGTTGCAGTATATTATGTATATAATTTCATGTTCTCTATTTAGTGCATTGATATGACAATTTATTAGATTATAACTTTGTGACCCAAAATAATAAATGGCAAAATGGCAAAAATTCTAAAGCTGTTTAACAAAAAACTGACATCTATATTTAAGTTGGAACTTGATCTGAAGGCATTGCTATAATAAATGCTATGTTATAAGTAGATTACTGTGCTATAATAATTGCCTCTATACAGAATATACATTCACAAAAAACCAATTCACCATAAGCTCTATTGCTCTAGAAAAGTCAAAAATACATTCTTTCTCTTGTATAATAAACACAAATGCTTTTCAGTGAAAAACCTGAAATAATTCTGTTTCCACCAAAGGAAAAATGTTCACTCACTCATTTGCAAAAATATGGTCCAGACATGATGTCTGTGTCAGTGAGGAACTACCTCCCTGCCTCTCTGGGTTCTTCTTAGGTTTGTAGATCAGTCAAATCAGACAGATTAGTAGGCGCAAAAACCAATTTAATCACATAGTGTGGGAAATCCACAAAAATGTAAATTCTAAAGCCAATAGAGCAAAATGGGGATATATATATCCTTAGTTAAAGGATATTACAGTGTTACCATAGTAGTAGCTCCAGCTTAAATAAACAGAGGTGCAGTTAGTGCCTGTTGAATCTTTGCCATTTATTTACGGAGAGAGGAAGAAACTCACATGGATGAGGAGACTCACATACAAGTCCAGTTGATCTCTAATTAGAGGTTCACAGTGTCACAGAGGTAGGTTTCTCTAATGGAAAGTTTATTTCTGGGTCATACCCCCAGTTTTTATTCTTGTGGATAGTTAAGGGAGTATGAAATTTTCTTTTGAGTCTGCTGAACATTGATTGAGCTTAACTTAAAATAATTTTCCCAAGTGGCACATCTTAGGCCTGTTCTGAACATCTTGGGGAGACCTGGCTTGGACATTTAGGGGAGGCTTAGCCTTGATTTGCTTGCTGTCTGATTTTTTTCTTGGATGAAGAAAGCTTAGTGTCAAGTTACAAGTATATGAGGGATATGAATTCTTGACTTTTGCATTCTGTTTTTCTTTCCTCCCTTAAAATTAAATGGTACCAAATTATTTTGTCAGTTGACATTATTGAATGCTAGAAAAAAAAAAAAGGATTCCTGATGACTTCTTGACTTTGATTCACGTAAGTTGGCGGCAAGCTCTGTCCCTGCCACAGGGAAAAGTGTTGTTCATATTTCAGGAGGTTGTCTTTGTGCTGGAAAATGCTATTGCTCATCGAATGTCAGGTTGCTGGGTTTCTCCACACAGTGCCTCTCCAGTGTGTAGGCAATGTGGGGGAGGAGAGAGCAGGCTTCTCAGGGAGAGCAGGCTTCTCCTTGCACGCTGCAGGGAGGAGACCATTGTTCCCCGGGCTTGCTTAGTGGAAGCCAAGACGGAGAACGGCCTTTGCTGCAGGTCTTGAAAGCTGAGAGTTTGTCAGTTTTATTTTTCTCTGGCAAAATTGCCAGGCTGGTTCCAGTACTCTCTCTGAATCAGGCCCAGGCGCATCTGACCAACTGCACACATTTCACACATCTGCAGCTCAAGAGTTTCCTGGGAGCTTTGCCAGTGGGAGTGAGTGACTCTGGGATTTAGCTGGGAGTGGGCAGGGGACAGGGGCTGTTGTGCAAGGCCAGGTGTGGGCTTCTGAGCCTGAACAAGCAAGGACCAGGATCCCACATCTTAATAAGGATGTAGCCAGGAGCAAGCGAAATCTGGCTAGACCACACATCTGTTGAATGTGGGGTTGGTCTCCCCAAAAGCCTTCTGTCAGCAGGCCCAGGGTAGGGATCCCTCAAGGCCTGTCCACCTTGGGAGCTCTAGGCCGTGCCTGGAAGAAAGCAGGTGGTTTTCGGTGGGAGCGCCAGGGCTCAGAGGCTGGCAGAAGCCCCCGTTCCGGCCCGAGTCCTTCCCACTCCCCTGCTGGCTCATCGTGGCCCAGCTCTCTTCCTGACTGGCGATGCAGCCACTGCTCCCCCTTCTGTGACTTGGAAGAATGGAGTCTGGGGACCCCACGCAGCTCCAGGTTGATCAGTAAACGAGTCTAGGAAGCTCATCTTTGCTGTCCGCGGAAGGAAGAGGTCACCTCCTTTCTGTCTGTCATGTGAAGCCCCTCTCTGATGCCTCAGATCGCAGCACACAGGATAAACATTCCCAGTCTGCTTCATTATCCTTAAGAATTCACTACCCCGTAGATTCTGCATACATCTGCTGTTCCACTGGTTGCTTTTCCGTGCTGGCTCGTCTGATGCACTTTTTGTTACTCATCTAGACCCATCTAGCCCAAGAAGATGGGGACCAAGGTGCTTTTTGTCTCCCACATCCAATGTGTGCCAGGCACTTTCTGTGCTCCTCACCTGGCAGGGAAGACCATGCCCAAACCTCAAGGAGTTTAGAGCTTAAGCTTGTTCTTCCTATCAATTTTTATTTATTTATTTATTTTTGCACAATGCTAGCAAGAGAGAGAGAGAGAAAAAGAGCTCTATAGTTGAAAGGATCGATTCCAAATTTATGCTCTTGAACTTTCTCTATGAAGTTCCTAGCGCAGTGAGAGTCTGGGAGCACAACTCCATCATGATCAGTTCATAAAATGACTTCCTTTGGAGCAGTGATCTCAGGCTGGG